TTCCCGAGCTGGAGCGCTTTCCTGCCCCTGACCGAGTTCGCTCTGAACAACGCCGAGCACTCGTCGACGGGCATGACTCCGTTCTTCGTGAACTCCGCGCGCCACCCGCGCGTACCCGCCATGCTTACCGTAAGCCAACCCACTGATGCTCGTGTCTCTACGCTTGGTGGGGGAGGAGCTACCGCTGAAGACTCACCGCCGGCCAAGACGCTGGCAGAGCCGTCGCCGGTCAATTCACTGGCGTCGCCACGCTTCCCAGTGACCGAATCAAGCGCAAATGCAGTGACACGTTCCCAAGCGAAGAAAGCCCTTGCCGCACCGCATCGTGCGGAGACGCCGCTCGCAGACTGGACAGAGCGAACTCTGATCGACCCTGCTGGCGCTCCAGCGACGATGCAGCCACCTGCTACTACCGCCAACTATGCACCGAAGTCCTCGGCGAATCCCACAGGTCACTTTGCGGTTTCCGAGTTTGTGCAGCAGCGTCAAGCAATCACACGTTTCGTGCGAGACGCACTGCAAGCCGCAGTGGACCGGCAGAAGGAGAATGCAGACAAGCGTGGACGCAAGAACAAGACTTCATTTCGCACGGGTGACCGTGTGTTACTGTCTACCGAAGGCATCCGCTCCTCCGTCGTGACCAACCTCCGTGCAAACAAGCTCGCGCCGCGCTTCATCGGCCCGTTCAAGGTGATCAAGGTCCTCGGTGACGCGTACACACTGGTCATCCCGTCGTCGCTGCGTCTTCACCCGACTTTCTACGTCGGGCGCCTCAAGCGATATCATCCTGCCAATATTCCGACCTCTGATCACCAGGATTCACTGGCCGGTAATGTACCCGAGGCTACTCGCGACGCCAACACCCATCACTCAAGCCTGTACCGTCGCGATGGCCCTCCTCCGATTGTCGACTCAGCGGGTGAAGCGCGCTGGATTGTGGACCGCATCGTTCACCACGAGGACCCATCTCGTGCAAACGGGCGTGGGCGTAATCCAGTCCGAGCTCCTCGCGCGATCCCAGCCGCGCGACGTTACCGAGTACGCTGGCTTGGGTTTCCACCTGACGAGGACACGTGGGAGACGCGTGCAGCTCTTCTTCGGGATGTCCACGATGTTGTTGTGACTATGAGGCGAAGGTCGCTGCTGCTGAAGAGACCACGGAGCTCCCCGCGGAAGCTGAAGCCTTAAGTGAGCGTGATGATGGAAGTGGACCCCCACCGCAAGCTCGCGGTGGCGTTCATCGCGAAGACTAAGAAGAAAATCCGACGACGACCGCCGGACTCGAACCGGTGACCTCCGCCTTGGTGGCGCAGCGTTCGACCACTGCGCTAGCTGGGCTTCGAGTCCCCTCGACGACGCTCTCGACCTGGTCAAGCTTGGAGCGACTGCGCGTGGCAAGTGGCAAGAAGGATTCGCGTGGGGCTTGAACCCACGCGTCACAGCTCAGCTCAGTGAGCGCTTGCCCACTACGCCGCACCACCGATGATCGCCGGTGTCGAAGGTGTCCAGGCTGGTCTCGCTGCCACGTCGGTTTGGGTCGACGGTTACGCGACTCTTCGTCGGAAGTTACTTCGAAGGGTCGTCTCGAAGAGTCGCGCCACGCTGATCGCCATCCTGTGTCTTGACACTCGCCGGGTCTCCGCTTCGTGCGCATCACAGTTGCGCTAGTCGTCAAGCGTTGGTGTCGCTCCCCATGCTGCGTCGTTGCCACGTCCGCCGTCCCTTCGGGTGTCCGTGGATGTCCGCAGCCACTTGGGGCACTGCGCATTGCATCGGCGTGTGCGCCGACGAGATGTTTTGGTGTGTGCACACATGCTGCGCCTGCGTCGTCCTGTGTCACTCAGTAGCGCGAGCGCCGTTCCTCCGCCGCCTCGGTCGTCCATGGTGTTCTTCGGGTGTTCTTTCGAAAATGTGTCTTTTGCGCTTACGCAACGTAAGCGCAACTTTGAGAGGGGGGTGATGTAATGGATCCCAGTTACATAAGTAGGTAGATTGACAGTACATAAAGTAGTTAAGTCAGTACACGGCTAGCGTGTACTGAAGGCCATCGTGATTGGCTGAATTGGGGAAGCCAGACCCCATTTCAGCCAATCAGGCGTTGACCTGCATTTGAGTGGCTCACATGAGACCAGGGGTAGCCGCCCTGGTCCTAACATAAAACAGAGTTGATTTTACCCAAGACTGACTGCTTGGTCTCACTAAATCCGAGTCTTAACTAAGCTTCCTCACCGCTACGTGTAAGCTAGTAACGGACACACACCTGGCCCGTTACAGGGGGCGATTGTGAGGCGAGGCGGGTGAACGCCTTGATCGTCCAGGTGTATAGCGTATTATGCCGGACCGAATCTGTTCGGAGTACCAGAGATATCCGCTGCAATCCGATAGTCCTCGGAGCACAGGAATTGAGCCGGGGGCCGGGAGGATCGCTTGGACTTGGCGTGTGTCCTTGTGTCAACCCCTATAGGTATCGTTTACCTTTGGCGGACCGGACTTCACCGAGTGAGTTGTTGTAAATACAGAATCGAGTCTGCTGGGTGTGTTCCTGAAACAAACTACACCGAATGAACAGAAAGTCAGACCGAATCGAAGGGACCACAGTCAGATCCACAATTCAGTATAACCAACACACATAAATACAATACCGAGCTAAACGTCACAAAATATACAGCCACCACTTATTCTTTAAGACCCTTGGGTGGGGGGTCTATACGCCAGTCAACTTACGAGCCGTCACCCAAGGCACTGGTCAACCCTGGATGCACACTCACTTACGCGCACCACCCTCACAGAGTGAGGTAACAATACAAAATATATGTCAATCCTATCACACAGTAGTCAATCAATTCAGTCTCGGGGGTGACTACCTCTACCGCCTAAGACACACATTAGGGAATATGAAATGGATGCCCGGATAGAGCACGCAAATTGGAAATAAAGCTCTCACAGATAACTCCAGGGCGCGACACCCCAGTCCCTGCCGACTTTGCCTTGGTACCTTTGAGTCCCCACTACACCAGTGCTCGCAACACCAGTGAGGCCTTGAAACGTCCTCCG